TTGTAGGGATGACAAATACAGTGCCGGAGGGTGGAACTATCTCAAAACCCGCAGCAAAACAGAGTCACTGAACAGTTAAAGCAGGAGAAATATTTGGAACGTCAGTGGGTCCCGCACTGTGCCCAAGTAATGAGGCCGCCCATTCACACTGCTGCTGGATAGAAAAAGGCTTGAGAGACATGAGCCCAAAGCTACTTGTGCATCACTTCTGAAGCTGTTCAAGATGATACCATCATAGCGGTGTAAACCTGACCAGGAGCAGAAGGAATATGACACTTAGGATAACAGGAAGAAAGGGCTCGTACCGTTTGCTCATTGGACTGAAAAATAGATTCTGAAATGTCCCCACGTGGTTTTCAAACTTTTTATGCAGTGAACTACACTTTATCCCACATTGGAAACAGTAAGAATGCTGTGGTGTGTGTGTGTGTGTGTGTGTGTGTGTGTGTGTGTGTGTGTGTGTGTGTGTGTGTGTGTGTTTTGTATGCTTCAAAGATTAAAAAGAATAATCTAAGGTGCATGCATGGTCCTTGCCGGTCTATTAGTAAAGCATGGCCAAGGTTGTCCAGCTTTGACTAGCAGAGGAAAGAAACAGAAAGTCATAGTTTATCCCTTTGAAGACAACCGTGCAACTGTCTGGCACACACAAGCAAATAATGAATTTTCTTGGGAGAGAAATCAAAGCGAAACCCAGAAGTCTGCTAACACTGGTGCATTTCATACTGGCCAAAATGTCCATTGTGTACCTGCTGCTTTTTGCATTTACTCTCAAAAGCTGAAATATCCCCCTTTTTCCAGATGTTCCCCTGTGTTCCTCCTCCTTCACTCGTCTCTGATGAACTGGAGACGTTGGACTCGGCTACCGAAGGAAAAGAAGCCAAAGGCAGCTGCCATTGTGTTTCCAGCCCCTGTCTTAGCTTAAAAACAGCAGGCAGGAATAGCCTGAGGTCAGTGTCACCCCCTACAGACAATCAAACACGAGAAGACAAAAACACTGTCATAAGGGCCGTGATTTATTCCTCCCTCAACGGGCTTCCCTTGTTTTCAACCACTTCCTGTCACTGGGGCTACTCTTCCTGGCCTGAAAGTTTGGGCCGCACTAGAAGCCAGATTAAACCATTTGGATTAGTTTTCATGACTGGTTCTGCACAAAGTAAACCTATTAATATATATAGTTATAGATATATGTCTAGAACTGACAAAAGGCAATACAAGATCTGAGTAAATATTAGTGTAAGTGTAAAATATGAATCTAAATCTAAATTCCTTTAACCTCCAATCCTTTTTTTCCCTTTCCCTCCAAGAAGTTGCTAAATAAATTAAAACGTTTTCAACTCCTTGGTTTTCATATATGTATATTTGAATTATTTTCACATTAACACAAGACACTAAATCTCTTCTCTGTTCCCTATTTTCTACATTGTTCCATTTTCTTTATGTATATGACAGTGACAAACAAGGGTTTGTCCAGGGTGGGAGTGTATGATAAGTTACTGCCTTTGTTGGTTTTCTTGGCTCCATATACAGTGTATATAATGTATACTGTACATATACACACACACACATATAAATATATACAGTACACCTAGCTAAAAACCCTTTAACAGAATGTAGATGCAGAAGGCCAGAATGTTTTTGTTTACAGAGGTGTTCATTCAACGCAGCAGTCTGTAGTGTGGTTGAACTGTGTTGCATTGTATCCTGATAGGTGTTTCTATTATTTTGTCCAGCCCATTTATATCAGTGAGGACAGGCTAGCATTATAACCTTGGTCATATTCAATTTGACAATCATATCTTGTGATTGCCTCTTGATCCCAGTGAGTCCCATTAGAAAGTGGCCATCTTTCTAATGGCTTGAATGCCAAATGCATGTGTAGTAATGTGATCCAATAACACACACACACACACACACACACACACACACACGCACACTGTATCCACACACATATACAGTACGCACACACACACAGCCACATGCACATTAAAACCCCAGTTAAAGAAAATAGGATTACTGCACAATCAGGCCAAAAGCCTTTTCATCTGAGAGGAGCAGAATCAATAAGCAATGCTTTCTATGAGAGTCAACAAGTTCAGACATGGGCCAAAGACTCAATCAGTGTAAGAGTTGTTCTCACAAAACCATGGATTCTTACTGATGGTGATTCACAGAGCTGCAGTTTGACTGGGAGAAAGTCAGATTACAGCATTTATTCAGAGCAAAGTGAGCCTGGTGTGGAGTTCAGAGTAGCCCTCCTGGCACCGCTGGGATGCGTTTTTCTCGTTGAGTCATGTGTTGCTCTGTGACTTAGCTTGAGAACCTTTCCAGGGCTTTAGTGTAAACAGAAAAGGCAGGCAGGCTAGTGGAAAGCAGATAGATCACTTCTAGCACAACATGCTGGCAGAGAGAGCCCATGGCCTTTGCTCGTGTTGTGTTGTGTAATGATGCAAAACCACTGGAGCAGTGGAAGGTTTTGATTCAGGCAATTGCATAGAGAGTGAGCTGTATCTGAGACTACGATCGGTAGGAAATAACTGCACAAAGAGGAGATTGGAACATTAGATTTTTCTGGTTCACTTTCTTTAAGGTTACTTTGCAGAAGTGTGTAAAGAAGCAAGCCGTCATCACTCTGGTGTTTCGGAGCTTTTGCTATGAATAAGGTGGAGCCTATAGTTAAAAAAGAGGAGCACATACAATTCATTTGGGTTTGGGGGAGAAAAACACCCAATATTAATGAGCTGCATGCAAAAATAACATATACAAGTATTATATATGTGTTAATTTAGATAAAACGATGATGATAATGAAAAAAATCACCTTTAAAAGAAGTGTAATTTATTGACGCCCTGTTGTTTTATTATATAAAATATTCCTTATGTTTCTTTAGGGGATCTCTACCTGGGTGCAATGAATAATATCCTAAAATGAGGCTATCATATATATGAGTATCAGATTTTCACTACACGATTATCATAATTATCATATCCAAAATCATTCATGATAATGATATCATCGCATTATCGATGGAAAATTTGAAAAAAAAATAATAATAAGAGGCACTGGATTATTTACACACATTTATATGTGTATTATTAACATGATATCAGAATTTCTTTTTTTTGGTCAATATCGCTATACACCCCTATTCTGAAATTTACAGCAATATAGTATTATTAAAGACTCCAACGTTTCACTGCAGCAACAGCTCTTGTACTGAAGGAAAGTGCTCCTTTCAAACAGATAGGTGTAAGTGGATGAGAGGTGGTGGTAGTGCAGAGTGTACCAGGAGAGGGCGATGGTCAGAGGCCTAATGCACCACTTCTTATTAAGGCTATCTGGAGATACTGTCAGACATGTCTGATATTGTCCTCTTAATCTTTAGATGTCCTGCACTGTCAAAATAATGTTTTGAATTGCAGCATAGCCATCCTAAGAGATAAACCTGAGAGATACTGTGAGATAACCATCCATTCAGTAAAAACAAAGAGCATTAGAGAGAAATCACTGCAAAATCAGCAAAGGAATCTCCCTTGTTCATGATGTTGCTGGGGATAGGAGCCTCTGAAAACCAAAATAAAAACAAAGGACAACAATGAAACCTTATCCTTCAAGGTTTTGAGCTGCACTTTGTTTGGTTTACAGTCTATTCTGAGTGTGTGTGGTGCAACACGAACCCTCTGTGGCCGTCAGAGTATCTATAGATCAGCGGGGCGGGTTACAGTCAGACTAAACTGTAAACAAGTCCCATCCAGAGACCACGGCTGACCCAGCACCGCACATCCCCAAACCGTCTGATTCATCTGCTTCAAAAGGCCGAGAGCAAACTCCTCAACAGCTGCATGATGAATCCCCAATAAATCCACCAGGACCAAAAAGCTTTGAATCTCGCTAAAGGAAGCAAGGATGCAGGTGGCTGGAGTGGAGTTTACTACAGCACATACTTTCCAGAAGACCAAAACAACAAGACCCCCCCTTACCCTCCCCTCGCTCCCTCCTTCACTTCTCCTGATTTCAAAGGCGATCTACAGGGAGGGAGAAAGCACTCGGAAGCAGCAGCCTTTTGTTCAAGGGTACTTTTGCATGAGGGAGAGACCGTGTTTTGTTTATGGGACAACATAGTGTTGCCATTAAGGCTTTAATCAGAACTGTTTTCTAGAGTCAGCCTTGAGTGACACCCCCCCCCCCGCCTCTGGCCCGCTTGGTTTGGTTCCCACTGAAGGAGCAACAGGAGGAGGAAGAAAGGAGTGGGGAAGTGTGGGAATGTCTCTACATCGTCGCCACGGCGGGCAGCTCCTAAACATGGCTTTAAATTAGGGGAAAAGAAAACACAGGCTAAAAAAAGGCAGTCGCCTAACTATACTCCTGCCTGCTAATTTGTCACCACTTGAAAAACGAGGAAAAAATAGCAACAGTTTTAAATCACACTACTTTAAAGTTAGGATATGCCAGCCAGTGTGTATGGTAGAATACTTAAACATAAGGGGGATTTAGGTCAACTCTGTTGCAGTTGCACATACATCTAAACCATTGTGGGTGGAATCTATGGAGCTCTGGCTGCGTTCATATTAGAGGGAAGCAGAAATGGAGAACACCAAGTGTCTGGTTCTGGCTGGCTGGCTGGGATCGGACCAGTGACAGCTGGGGCTTGAAAGCCTTACATCCAAAGCCAGGGCTCACTGCCACTTGCTACATAGCAGCGCCGAGCTAAGCCCACCCCCTCCTGTCCAAGCCCTCACTCTGAAAGATCACTGTCCTGAACAAAACATTAACCTCCTGCCAAATAATTCCCTCTAAAACCATCTCCTCTTTAAAGTCTGAATCCAAGAGCGGAAGAGGTGCTGGAGAGAAGACAAGATGGCAAGATAGTTTGTCTGTCTGCTGCCATGTCTGGAGGGGGGGGGGCGTGAGGGGTCACAGAGAGGGGAGTTTCTCAGCAGATACAACGAGGAACAAGGCATGAAGCATATTGACAAGCGTGTGTGTGTGTGTGTGATCTGTACCTTATCAAGCAGCGGCAGACAGCGGGGGACCCTGTGCTCCAGTTTGACAATGGTGATGAAGTCACTCTCTTGTCGTTCATCCTCGCTCGTGTTGCATAGAGACAGAGGGTGATACTGCAAAAGAAAGAGACACAGAGGGAAAGAGGTTATCGTCTCATACAAGGGAACTCAATTTAAGATCAAGAGGGATATATCATTTGTGATGGAGCCCTCAGGAGAAGTGCAAAGAAGCATCTATAGGTCATACATACTCGAGTCTTTGCACCTAATCACAGACCTATACTATACTCAGAGATTCGATTTTTTACAGCGGCATTCACAAAACATTATGAAAAGCTACACAAAACTGTCTTATGTAATGAATTAAATCAGCTGATGGATCCTAAAGTCCAGAGTGAAAACTACAGCTGTTATTTTTTAACACAAATATGGAGAATAACTTTTTACAATAACAATTTAAACCTGCTGTGAAACATCACTGTGCAGTGGAAATATTAATGGCACATACCAATGATAGTACAACACACATTCCCACAGATTTTAAAGCAACAATTGTAGTAAAGAATAAAGATATTTGTAAATCAGACTCAGAGGAGTAAGACATGCTCAGAAAAACTCTGTTACAAGTCCTGCCTTCAAAACATAAGTAAGGAATAGTACAGAAGCATTAAAACATACTTAAAGTACCAAAAGTATATCTCATGCAGAATGGCCCATTTCAGAGTGATATCAAATATATTATTGGATTAAAATGATTGCTACACAGCTGTGTTCATCTCTTTAATGTTGCAGCTGGTAAAGGTGGAGCTAATTTGAATTACTTTATATACTGCTTGGTAGCTTGTGAAGTTTTATCTTCATCTACAACTTATCTATAAAAAGCATCTTTTATTTGTTGTCGTTGACCATATTTTGTGTTAATAATCTGAATCTGCAAAGTAACCTAAGTCATTAAATAAATGTGGTGGAGTAAAAAGTACAATATTTACCTCTGAGATACACAAAAAAACTAATATTTATCCCTAAAATGTTGTATTTCAATTACATGTACAGTTTCCATGTAATTTTTTTACGTAAGTGCAATGTAAAGGGTCAGCCAGCTGCAGTGTTGGAGTGAGATGGCTCCTTATAGGATCTCATAAAGTTTTTTAAATAAACAAACTTTTGATTTCATATATTTCAGTTACATTTGAGTGTATAGTGGAGTAGACGTTTTATATCAAAATTGTACTTAAGTACAGTACTTGAGTACATGTACTTAGTTACTTTCCACAACTGATGAGACTTGAGAGGCAGATAACACTGGCATCTGTCTGTTCAATACTTCTGTACTGTAAGAACCACACAGTATATCCATCCATCTCCATATATACCAAAAACACAGCATGTAACCGACAGTATGAGACAATCGAAGACTGGACCAAAATGTTTGAGACAAGCTTTTAAAAGACAATCTCGACTGAGGTACTAAAGCTGGGTTTCACACCATTTATGTGTTAAATGAAGGCGTTTCCTTTCTAAACCGTACCCAGTTGATATCAAGAGGAAAAAACTTTGGCACTCTACAAAATCAATTACATGGATGGCGATGTTCACTCCCACTCAAAGCCTCGAGGACTGAAAGAACGAGAGATATTCTTTGGTAGGAACATTTGATCCCCTCTGAAAGGGAGGAAATTCGTAGCTGCTGAAAGGCTGCATTTAAGAGCTCAAGGGATAGCAGCAGTGTTTGCAAGTCACAGACATGCTGTCACGGGTACGGGGAATTGCACGGCAGTCCAGGAGGGAGCAAACCGCTCCATAAACATCCCCACGTATCTCTGATTTACCCACGTCACATCAGTGAGGACACCGACACAGTGCTCCTCAATCAGTCCTTCTACAGTACACAGATCGCCCTGCAGCGTCCAGTCCCCGCGCTCATCCACACCCCAGCAGAGTGGACCCACCCTGCCCTGCCCTGCCCTGTGTAGGCCCGTCCCAGCCTGGTTCTGCCCCGGTGGGCCTCTTCATGTGGCTGTGGGCTGAGGTCATGGGGCTCCCCCTCATCTCACCCAGCGGAAATCCCTAAATTAAAAAGACCCAAGGGTGACATCAACAGCTGGCACCCCAGTCCAGGGGAATTGACGTAATGTGCTGCAAAGGGCTGTTGCATGTCTGTCAGAAGGAGAGAGAGAGGAGAGGAGGAAGAAAGTAGACTTGGGGGAGCAGGGTGGGGCATGGAGGTAGAAGAAAATGAGGCGGGGGGAGGTGGCACGGGAAACACTTTGTGTGTAGCAAGTGGATTCACATACCACAAATTCTTCGATTAAAGAAATATATCCACATATTTGTGTTAAGAAGAAAATGGTTTAATCAGTCCAAACAGAAATACAGAATTATTACATTTACTGTCATAATAACCACCCGACTACACCGCCTGCCTGAGTCACCTTAAAGCAGCGGTTCTCCACCTGTACTAAAATTCCCTTTTTATTAGTTTTGGTTCCCATCATTGTTCAATGATTGCTAAAAGTTATGGGGCAAACTTTTTTGGCTTCCATACGGGGGCATGCCAGAAAAAGTTGGAGAACCACACCCCACAATTCTTAGCAATCATTAACACACGTTATGATTGAGGACACTAGTTAGCAAGCAAGAAGATAAGTTGAAATACTAATGGATATATGATATAAATCATTATAAAGAAGGATGAAAGCAATTTAAAAAGAGTACACAGTAACAAGCAAGCATTTTGAATAATTAGCTAAAAGTAATGGATATAAAGCTGAATGAATCTATACAGTTATATACAGTTAAAATAAAAAGCTTCTGCAACTCCATGTATGAATATTAGTAGTATGCAGAGCCATAACAAAACACTGACAATTCAATTGAATTGTATACCAGTTTTTAACAATTTATCCACTTTTATGTTGCATTACTACATCCACTTATTTGGAAGATGACGGAGAGTGACATGTACATCAGATAAAGAGGTTGTGAAGAGTGGAGGTAGAGTGCTGAAGAGGTGATGTGTTCTCAGAGGGACTAAACCATCCTGGAAACCAGAAATCCAGAGCACCTCCCTCTCGTTAAGAGTTTAAACTGAAATACATGGAAGATTCTGCCCTGCATGATGTTTTTAGACCCTCACATGTCGCCCGAATGGCAGCCCCTGTTAAGGAAGGCAGGCAGCAAGACAGCATGAACCCCTGGCCTGGCGTCCATGCTGCACTGCCAGCTGCCTCTACCAGTCCACATTTACTAGGCCCAAATTAGAGGCCTACAGTTGAACTTGGCCCTTAACAAAGAAAAAGAAATAAAATAAAATCCTTTAATGACACTACTCCACTGATGCCATGACCTCTGCTCCCTTTTTGCTATAGGTTTGTGGGAAATGTTGAACTCGTGCTGCATTCAGTAGGAAGAATCAGGTTTTACGGTGAAATTACAATGCTTATTTGAATCTTTAGGCTTACATGCTCATATTTGGATCTTGCTGGGATATTAAACATGTTGATGCACGGGGCTGTGCAATCATACCTAATAAAGCAGATAATAATCCCACAGCGGAGTCAAACAGGCTCAGAAGGAGAGACTGGTTTTAGTTTCCTCTGGCTCTCTGAGGCTCTGAGGGCAACCACCTCGATGGTCACAGTGTCTATGTTTTGCATCGTTGACAAAACTAAGCATTATCTTCTATTTTAGAAGTGCCCACACCACTTACAATCAGATGGCTGTGAACACTCTCCATGTGCCACCAAGGGTGCCATCTACCACTTAGAAACATGCTGCCGCTGGACTATAAATGGCAGCCAGGACAAACTGAAACGTCTTCATTTGGTTTTTGTACGGCCCTGAGAAAAAGGGGCCTGGGAAACCAAATCACTGAGTCTCCATTTCACAGGGACTAGAAACCACAGGGCACGCAAACAGTTCCCCACAGACTGTTAACAATGCTCACGCCTCCTCCTCCTCATCTGTCTAGATCTGTTGCAAAACTGACGGGGACATGTCCCTCGGTTCCTTTGTAGCCACGATTAAAGGCATTCCTTTCCAGCTCAATCAAAGACTACCCCAAAAATATTCCGAGGCAAGAATCTAACAGCCTCAAAAACAAATACATGGACAGAAAAAGGGGAGAATAAATAGTAGCTGCGGTGAGAAGTCAATAATATTTTTTTTCCACTCGCTTAGCCCTGCGGATCTTCTTTTTTCATCTGCCAATAATCAGCAAGAGAGCCTTCTAGTTCATCTGTTGCCAGCAGGGAACCAGGCCCAGGCAGTTATGTCAGTGTGTGTTAGAGAGGGGAGGCAAAAAGAAAAAAAGAACTTGCACCTCTCATCAAGCTCCACCACTCAATTACCAGCTACTCAGGTCATAGGGCTTCTCATGGACTGCTGGATGAAATGCTATATGTAAAAGTATCTAAATTAAGCAGATTGGTTTTGTCGGAGATGAAAGGAACATATCAGCATGTGAGCATTCTATCAAACAGCATAAATCAAGACTGAGAGCGAGGAAGGCAAAGGGCCTCTTTAATGGAGCCCTGCCCTGAGGCCTGGAAAGCCTGCCAGGTTAGTGCATATCAGGGAAGAATTCAATAAAGGCACACACACACACACACACACACACACACACAGGCACCTAAAAGCACCCAGTTCTGAATGACCCATTTCTTCAGTGAGTGACTCAGCCTCCCACGTCTGGGCTCTAAATCTAATGAAATCTCTTTGTCTCTCTCACTCTCTTTAAACTCCATTGAATACACACCTGTTCTGTGCACACACACACACACACACACACACACACACACACACACACACACACACACACACACACACACACACACACACACACAACATTTACACACACTTACAGTACACACTCATATGCAGGGTCAAAATCTTCCATGCAGACTGGTAAAGTGAGAACAGAGTCAGCATGAGCTTAGACATTGAGACCAGGCTGGCAACCAGGCTCCAGCTTTTGGTTGCCAACAGGATGACTCCCATATATTGAATAAGCGGTCAAAGTGTTATTAGAGTTAAAATGTAGTATTGCAAAGTAAATGTCTGTTTTTAGACACACAGAGGTTCACAGAAGCCTCAGTCACAGAACAACATAAATT